TAAAATCGTCAGAACATCATTTAATCTAATCTCAGCATATTTAGAAGATCTAAGCACGGTCTCGTTAGTCGTCCCTCTACCTACCCCATCTCAGATTCCCCACACATTTACTCACTTCTATTCATTCCAGTAATAAGTAGTCTATTAGGCATTTCCTTCTCAATGATGGGTCGATATGACTGGATAATCTCGCCATGATTAGTCACGTATAAAGACAATGTGAAGAGAGAAACTATCTGACCAATGATATATACGAGAGTTCATGCTTTCTTAAACACAATTTTATTTTGATGCATTCTGCTTAATAAGAGATGAGTGAAATGTCATGGATGTACACAATAAAACGTCGATGTGATGCTTGTTTCAATTTCCTAAACACAAGATCATATTAAATGACCTAATACGATTCGCATTTATATGACATTTGTATGTTCTGGGTTATGATAAAAGGGCAATCAAAACTATATAAACAGCAATTTCAACCATCTTTGTTCGTACACAAATCGGATGAATAAACAAACTAGGCTGTTGATATTCAGTGAACTTTAGTATGCGTAAACAATCTTCTACAGATATGAATGAATTAATCAATATATGTATTGGATCGATAGACTAGGAGGTAGTTGATTTGAGATATCATCGTTAATAATGACACACCGATTCAACCAATGACAAGATTATACTGACTATTCCTTCGTAATTTATTGAACGGTGAATGGAGATTGAAATGAGAATTTGTAAATCTACACAGCATATGATTAATTAAATGAATGCTTTCATGTTCTTCAGTGAATATCTTAACTCCTGGAATAGGAAGGAGTGGGGTTGTCTTCAAACATAGATTTACAGAATATTACTATTGAGGTTCTTCCTGAGTGTGCTTTGACTTCATCAGTTGGTTATTGTGTTCTCTGAAAGTAAAGGATAGAATCAATTTGAAGGTAGTCTCTAGTCTCATGACTGTCAGTCGACAACTACTGAGAAATCACAGTATTTAGAAGTCAAGTGTTCGTTCTAATGATGAACACGTTAACTACCCAACAGATATGGTTCCCTTAGTTGGATGAATGAGTTTCATTCTGACTCTGAATTATACTGCATAAGTTGATCACAGTGAAATCAAATCATCTGATTCGGTAGTTATGAGAGTTGGATAGTTGAAATCCACTTAGTACGATACACGATCCCCAACGAATTTTGTTAGAAGTAACAGTGGTAACTTCCTTATAATTGGGTGGACGTGTATTCTCCCTCCTCTTCTCTTTGCTTGTCCTTATCGGAATAATGGGAATGATTGATGTTGACGACTGTTACTGTGCTGTATTCTAGTGCTGTTGTATTTGCCCACTACCTGATTGGGATAGCTGAGTAGTACCAGCGTGCAGAAATGATTACCTTCAACATAAGAAATATTACTCATCGAAGAATATTTCAAAAAGAGATCCTCAAAATGGAAACGGTTTAGCAGGCTTTGAAATATTATGCAGTGAGTGAAATCTACCGCCATGCTCCACATTTCTCAGTTGAATGATTTCATCGTATCCGTTATTCAGAATGAGAAAACCCATTAAATTACACGTACTAGATAAACTTCCGTCACATTAACCTACACTTGCGGTTTTCTCAGTTTTGTTTTCATTGAATGGGTGTTCACCTGACCACTCAGACATTAGTCTGCAATCTCCTTTGTATTGGTTAACAAAGAACATCCTCAGAGTCTGGAATTCGTCCACGCTAACGGCATGAGTTCCAAAACATCATATTGCAAATTCTTTTGAAATATCTTGATCTTCACAATGCAACCGGAGTGGAGATATACCTTTCCATTCGTGTTTTTTGTCCTCAGTGTCAACAGATTGCCTAAGGTACGATGAGGTGGGTAGTTGAGGCAGGTAGAGTGTCACATATTCACCAATTATCTAATATATCACAACACATGTAATACCAAATTCACCTATCGATCACTAATTACAGAGAAGAGGAATTTGTCTAGAAGCTGACTACTCAATTACATTTTTGCGCACAAGTCAAAAATCACAGAGATTCACACATATACATGCACATGAAAACAATAATCAATGCAATCATATAAACGCATATATCTCAATTATGATATGTTTGTGTGTGTGTGTGTGTGTGTGACTGAGTGATTGAGTGAGTGGATGGTTATGCACGTGCATATCACGATCATATGGTGTGATCGTATCATTTCTAATTAATCTCATGATGTGATGTTTGTTGTTGACCTACTAAAATGATGCTGGTAAGATAGTCGTAAACAAGCCATTAGATGAAATTATTGAAATGTAGACTCATTTTAAATACTGTTTAGGATGTTTTTAACTATGTGGTAGCTATTTAGCTGATCTCTTTATCATTCTTACCTGAAGACCTCAATTCGCTTCACATATCACACTGCAAACGTATATTTGCAGATAAATTATCGTCTACAATGTTATTTCAGTGACTTCGCTTCAACTGAAATCAGATACGATGCTTAATTTTAGCACGAAGTGTTGAGAGTGAGTAGGACGCGTCAATGTCCACCACTTCTAGTTTTCATATCAACCCTAAATTAAACCAGAACTGTTAGTCAGTGTATCTGTAAGTGCCTGAATTGCGGGAAGGGAATGGAGAGTTGTGAAGAATCTGTGATGGATTGAAATATAAGCATAAATCTGTACCTAGTGAACTGCTTACTAAACAGTTTTTCGAACACTAGTAGTTATTCACATCCTGTTGAGATGTGATAGAGTAGCTGGTTTGTTGCATAGAGACAATCATAAGGATTTCTAGTAACTTGCAACCAAGTGATAGTGGATGTCGATGAATTCTGACAGTCTCTCTGATGAAGGGAATTCACTGAAACAATTCTCACGATTGATGCAGTTGCTTAGTCGTAACTGTGTTGACTGAAATCAACAGTCGGTGTTTGAGGTGTGGTCATTTAGCCAAATGATTCCATACCGACGTAGTACTCCTTGCCAACAGTTTATTATTTTGATGTCTAAAATATACAATTGATAAAATAGCCAAATATTATCAGATAGACTGATTGTCACCTTCCTATGGTTAGGCTTTCTCAACCTGAGTGCTTATGAGTGGGCTCAACGGGCCTATTTACACTTTCCCCATATTCATTATCATGCACAGACTTGAGAGACCCTCTCGAAGAGCACTCCAGAGTATAAAGCTTTCTCTGAGAGAGCCTCAACTTTCAGCTTGTCAAACAGAATGTTCTCAGTAGCAAACTTGTAGGCAGTTAGGTCTTTACATTTTGTATTTTGCTGTGAGTTCTTACCAGTCAGCTAAGGAAATCATTATTTTGGAATATAATGTACATCGGCTTAGTGGAGATTGGTCATTCGTTAGGAGACTGTAACATTCAGCTCTCACAACGTTTCACATTACTGCATACATTGATTTTGATATCGGTCATTGGGATTCTGTTAGAAGGACACCTTACATTTCTGAAACTCGAAGATATTTGTACTGTCACGCAAATGTGAAGAACCCATTCCATGTGATTCTACTTGCAGTGTGAATGAAAAGCAGATAAGGTGTATCCCGACTATCATAAGTAATGGAGGATGATGACGTCAATCGTAGAAATGTGTTTAAGTCAAACTGGAAATATGTCGGTTGTCTTCACGCCTCATAATATCTTTCCACAATAAAAGCCTAGACACAACACCTTGAATAAATCAAACGACACACAGCTGCAATTCAGCTTCACATCTTCTCATCTCTGTGTAAACAGAATGTTTAAGTCAGTCAGTCCTTCGAATCTCGTATTCGTTGAGAATACAGCTTAAAAGGTTTAAAAGAGGGAAGGCGCCAGAATCTGATAATTTGTCTGCAGAAGCATTTACCGATGCTGGTCATAAACTAGAGAGCTTAATAAGAAAAGTAGTGGACACAGTTGGATTGTGAGGAACAAGTACGCATATAAAGATAATCCCCATAATTTTCGAGAAAGTAGACGAAATTTACTACAATAAGATCATAGCTAATCGAGGTATGAATGTAGGAGGTGGCATGTACCTACGGAAACTTAAACAGCCAAAAGCTAAACAGGTTTCATGTGAATAACTCAGACTGTGTAAAACGTCCCCTAACCACCTCAATGGGCACAACTACCCAACCACGTGGAGTGAGCTCCCGTACTTGTCAAGACTCCATGCTCAACTTCGTCATTACTGACTAAATTGCATAACCGAACACGGAAGACGGAACAAAGAAACCTAAAGTCAGGGATGCCTCATGTCTTCGTATCCTCCTCTGTCATCTGACGAATAGAAGGATGAGATCAACTGCCTCTCAGTACACACGCTCTTTATTAGACAACAGGATATTACGCCTACACAGGTGATGACGCAAACTGTGAAGTCTCAGTCGAGCCATTATCGTCTGTGATGACACTCAATTATGCAACCGATCCATCGATGTGCAGCCAACATATTGCTAAATATACATACCATGTTAGCTCCTAGGCGTGAAATGCGAAGACTAACCACCATGTGGAACGAAATATATCCATCAATACTTGACGAATATCACCAATTGCAGTGAGGCATCCGGAATCTACAACACCTTGTAGCATATCAGTAGTCAAACAACGGATTAAATTGACAGGATATGGTCACCGTTCTCAAAACTTCATAAAGCAAACAACCCGATGAAATTTCAATCACTAAATCAATTAACCTATAGTTCATCTCACGTACTAACAACTGAACGATGATACGAGTTATATATTCAATTCCTACGCACAATGAACACGAAACGACCCCACGCATATCACTGACATGAGATTAACAGTCAGACTGTAACCCTACACATAACGAACGACGTAATAACGAACCTAGTAATAAAATACTGAACCCCTCACATACTTAACACCCCCAAGTAACAAATTAACACAAACCATCTATCACATTCCTATTCTCACATATTACCTTCACAAAACATCGACACAAATTCATTTGAAAAACAAAGTCTCATGGAAAATAAACAATAATTTAATCTATATTTATTCAGAAATAAAAACAAATTAAAAGAATACACACATTAACGCATACACGGGGAATGCAGACACAAAATCAATTAGTCCATCCATCAATTCAATTATTCATGCAAGTTCGTGAACAACAAACGGTAGTCCGATGACAAATCAATCAACGAAAATGGCACCTTGTTCAAAATCTCGAAACCAATGAACATCAAAGTTTTCAGGAGAGGAGTAACGGCGCTCTGTTCACTACACTGACACTTCGAGACAGCTATGTAGGCTACATTCACTCCACACATTTCAAGCTCTTCCAGACAAGCTACGAGTGCATTCTTCTGAAGGATTCCTGGACGTCCTGTCGTCACTGACAAGAAAATCACTGCCGTCTTCGAGTCACCAACACAAGCCACCAGAAGACTCGTAGGTGGCATTGAAGACCGAATCGACTCCAAGAATTCAATCGTCTTCCCAGTCATATCTGGAACATTGATTATTGAACTCCGAGAGCGTTCGCCACTCCCTCTGCGTCTCGATATCCATTGTGGTGCTTGACACACTTCACTGTCGCTTCCAGATTCCGAGTCGGTGGACTGAGAGCTGGAGTTGTGTGAAGAAGTCGTCTTCCCATACCAACGGAATTGTCCGTTGTTGATGTTGTGAAAACCGTTTGGTCGTTGACACGGTAGTTGTGCATCCCCCGTAGGAACATCAAATATAAGGCCGAGGCCAAATGCCCATACTATTACGAAAACTACTGATATTTTGGATTTCGACTTCAGACATCTTTCTTTCTGTGGCTGTTGATGTGAGAGTTAAGTGGTGATTATGGCAGGCGTTGATTTGACTTTATACTTGTGACCTTGGTTTAGCTATGGCCAATCAGATGGTGGCTTGTTTTGATTGGGTGAATTGTGGTGTCATCAGCCAATGGTATTGGAGTAAGTGTAGGTGGTGTATTGCTGATTGGTCATGTGGTGGGTGGGCTGACATACAGGGGAGTGGTGATAGTAAACATTGATATGTTAGATGGATGTACAGACTTGCAGAAACGACTAACCATGGAAACCATTGGTCCATTTATTTTATGTCATTTTTCTTTTTGACATATCAATTTGTAGTATGATTGTGATAATAATAAGCATCCTTCTTTGTCCTTGTTTCGATACAAAATATCCAGGGATAACTTAATTTTGAGTAAGAGACGGACATACAGATTGGGACTGCATAAGTTGTATCAGACAAAAGCATGTAGAAATATTCTAGCAGTAATCGTCGGTAGATGAAAGCGTAAAGCCTTGTTTGTAGGGGAATTCTTTTCCCCACATCATCTTAGACAGTAATCAACCTGGAGATTACAATTCAGAAGATATTTCTGTTTTTTGAGAACTATTTGAATACTGTTACATATTATTATATTTGCTTCTTATGACCTGGATTTGAGCTATTAGATGTGAGTGTTGTGAAAGGAGGCGAATGGTGAATCCCGTGTCGGAATAGTTGATGGAAGTCTGACAATGGCATACCGTATATAAAGGGTGATTTAGGGATTGACATTTCAAACCTTTCCTCTCCCTGTGGGATACATTTAAGAGGTCACCACAGGGAGGTGCTCGAACCGAGGTCGAATAAAATAAGTATGGAATTTATATTCTGTTATTGACAGGTCAACAACTGGAACTCCTTACCTGATTCGATATTAGCGCCTTCAAAGAGAAACTAGATCTCTTCAGAGATATATATGTATATAAGAAGCATTAACATAGGCAACCAGAGCCTGTTGTCCTTATAATCTGAATCTGAATGGAAAGTAGTTGGGATAATCTTTAGAATGATTAAACTGAAGGATGGACAAGGAGTGAAGATGAACGCTCATATGTGAGGCTGTTTCCTTCCCACCCAAGTTTCCTTTTCCACAGTTAGAAAGCGCCACATAACTGAGATACTAGGAACCCCAGATTAGAACATTATTTCCACGATATAACTGTCCAACCGACAGTATAAATTCGTCTTCACATCCTTACTAATCCATGTTCTTTCCACACCAGGACACCTCTCGTAATGACAGATATCTAGAAATAGAAATAGTAGAATTTTCACTCCATTTCCTAAATCGATTTCAGTGTGTACGCTGAAACATTACGTCATAAAGATAATAGTAATAACTCACATTTGTGATATTTCCTTCGTTTGATCATCAAGGCTTTTACTTGAATTGGTTTGGTTAGTAGAAATTCGTGGTCTTCGTGGAAGCAAACATTTGGCTATGAGTTTACCTATTCATTCATAAGAACTGTGATTAAGTTCCATCGTGAAGAGATGAGCTATTCTGAATTGATGGTTGACTTCTGGTTTTGAAAATATTGGGAGCATTTGCCAACTCTGCATTTATATTTCTCCACAATATACCCCAGCAAATCCAACTTTGTTGTTGACTATGGTGGTAAGGAGGATTTTAAGAGCACAAAATACATGGCGTCATATTTTAATTCCTGTTACACGCTGAGTAACTTTCAGCATAAAACAAACTGCAATATCAATTTGTGTATCTAGGTGTATAAATCACCCAATATCGATTGCCTCCTTAGAATACTCTCATTTTGTGGTTCCGTAGCAGAACATGAGTTCAAAATGGAACCAGAAGATAAACAACACACAGACAGTCAAAGCTATTGAAGTAACTATCATTTTACGACAAATACTATTCCTCATGTTTATCTGAAGTGACCTGTGAGCGGAATATGAATACCACCTTGTAGAAAATCCTGAGCTTCACTGTCACTTCTAGAGTGTACTGAGCCGCTAATTCAAACAGAGATACTTCATGTCAATAATATTCTTGTCACCTCCGAGGTATCGCGAGTATGGATTAGTGAACTAATCCCTAATCAAACAGTTATGACCCCATGAAGCTGACTAGATCAAAATCAGGATGTGTGATGAATGCCAACATTCATTATAACTGATGAACTGTAATGCCTATAAAGATAGATGATGTCTTGATGATTTGACAACAGAAAGGACAAGTACTGATGTGAAATCACTTCGATCCATTGTATTCCACGCCTCCTCTTCATCTGTCTACACCCGGTGGTCATTTAATAAAATGAGATATGTAAAACTGACATTTGTATACATCTCAGTGAAACTGAGACAAATAATTCCAAAGTTTCGTTAGGTGAAGTGGTTCGAACTTCTTCGTGGGAATAATCAAAATTAGAATATTAAAGGTACGTATACACAAAATGGCTGAGACTTATGCACATATAGTTTCTATAATATGTCTGTTGAACTATTTGGTCAAATTTTGATCACAGTTCGTAAAAACTGAGTAGAATGACTTGAAATACAGGTTTAATGTACATGTGTTTGTCATTAGGAATCAGTTTTCCATTTAGGAATGATGTAAGAACATAGTTATATATATGCTCATTTTGTGGACTTGATGAGACATTAACGAATGCTTCTGGCCTATACATTCATTGGTGCTGTAGTCTGTCAGGTGTCTCACACCTTCTCGATAATCTTTCAGCAAATATTGTCCATTTTTCTATCAGCTAACTGATGAGTGTTTTGGATTATCAGAATTTCAAGGGTGATTACATGTTGGTGAGATTAACACGTGAAATATCACCTTAACTAGTGACCATCATACAAGTTGTTTCAATTTTTGTTAAGAATTGTCACATGTTGTGCTTCCTTCAGGTCAATGAATGTTTAGAGATGTAACAGGAAATATGTTGTATTCGAGAAGTAGTCATTGTACTCTGATTATTTATTTGAAGTTACGAAATCGTTTTAATTGTAATTTATGGTAATACGGTAAAAAGTGATATATAAAGGATATATAAATATTTTCTGTACTTTATATTTCATTTTTTTGAACGATGTCTAGAAATAATAGTCTTCTGTTTGAGGTGGTATCATCTGCTTTCGTTGTAGTTTTAGTGAATTAGACGAAGTGTCTACTTCAACATAAGGTATTACTGGAGTTGTTTTCCAGTTGCATATTGCAGCGTCTTCTAGATATTCATAATGTCAGACCTCTTAAATCAAAATTTTACTTCACACAGGTTGATTTGTATGATTATATGAAACTAATGTATGTAAACGTGAAAATCTTTAGATTTTGAGAGAGAAAGAGAGAGAGAGTAATTCTAGGAAGTTATGTTAACTTACTAAGCGATAACGAAGTGGTAGTACAATCTCCTGAGTACTTAAATTAGAATGCATTTGATTGATGTGTTTGTTAAAGCTGGCAATGTGTTATACCCCTTTTTCGTGGAGACTACTTGTGCTACCTGGTTCTCCAAACCTCGGTTCGAATCCACGACCCGATAGATGGAAGTGGAGTGTTTAGACCGATAAGCCACAGCTCCATATGTAGTTAGGCCAATAGTTGAATTTAGTTACTAGTAATTAAAGGACTGAATAACGCCTATGCTTTTATTGTAAATGGGTTTTGAAAAATGAAGGTACTTAACACACCCCAACAATCTCAAACATGAGGATATGGACGTTCTGCTCTGTGTCGGTATTTGTCACCGAAACTCTGCATATTAACTGATTTCAGTTGAATCAAAGTCACCAAAATAACATTTTAAAGAGTGTTCTTTTTATTGTATATTTGCGGTGTATGGTTAGAATGTGTGTTTTTGTGAAGCTCAACATTGGATCACAGGATTTCACTCTACCCTGTGCCTGTTAGCAGTTAGAAGGGAGATTGCCACAAATACAACCAGATGGTTTATACCTTTCTGAAAAGTATCAATTGTGAGGTTGCATTTTAATAATTTCATCTAATCTCTTGTTTACGACTATCTTACCAGTATCATTTTAGTAGGTCAACAAAAAACATTACATCACGAGATTAATTAGAAATGGTATGATCACGCTATATGATCGTGATATGTACGAGCATAACGATCCACTCAATCACTATCGTACAATAGTAAAGAGTTATGCCATCTAATTAATGCATTGAGTATTGTTTTTCTGTCTCTGTGTGTGAAATAGATGGAATTGGTGTATTCTTAACTCGTGTTTAACTGTAGTTGAAGTGTAGTGACCTTGTTGACAAATTCCTTTTCCTTATAATTAGTAATCAATGGTTAAATTTGGTATTGGATATTAAGCAGACGTTTATGTGTGTGATAACTAACGCTGGATTTTGTGCTCATTATCAATCACAATCAAGGTTTCCATCAATCCATACAAATACTCATTTCCCATCGATTGTTCTTCGAAGCTATTATATCTGCGGTGGAACTTAGACTCTGCTAGCTTAATATCCCAAATTCGAATAGAGATAAAAAAAATACCAAATCAGTAAAGTTAGTGGAAGAATATATTAAAAATTTGTTACTTGGGTTATTACAAGGTCCAAAAATCCACAATTAACATAACAGACTCCAGAAGTATTGCGCGAGGACTCCTCCAATCTTAATTTCCAATATCAATATTGCCAGAGGTCGGCCAAGGTAATGTAGGGAGGAAATACGGCGTTCCTGTGAGATTTTGAAGTAGATTTGGTCGATGACAGTTGAGATGGTGGAGAAGATGGAGAGATGTAGGCAGAACTGTATTTTCTTTCAAAACAACGAGGTTAGGTTCAAAATAAAGGAATTCTGGTTAAAACAAAGTAATGTACAATATGTTCATTTGTCAAATGGTACAATTACAATTACTAGCTCAATTCTCGAGCATTTGGTGAACTCAGGCCACGCAGCTCCACCAGAGTCGTCTTTCAAGATCATCTACAAACTGAAGCCAAATGGTACAAAGGGCGTCAGGTTTCGGCTTTTCTGTATGGCGGAGGCACTGG